CCCTATAGGAGATTTAAAAATAAATATAATAAAATTAAATAATTCTTTAAAAAAAAAAAAACACTAGATTCAGTTTATCCTGTACTGGCAATTCCAAGAGCAGTTTTAAAAACTTAGCTCTATTTGGGAATGGCAGGTGGCATGGTGGTTAAAGGTACTAGATTCCCACAGGCTGACCGTGGTTCGAGTCCTAGACCTGTTGACTTGTTTCTCACTTTCTCTCTGGTTGAATTAAAAAAAAAAATGGAGTCAAATAAATAAGTCTTAAAAAAATATAGTTCTATTTTTAAAAAATCAGAATGAAAAAAGCTTCAGTCCACCAGCAGCACCACCACGCTCGGCTGTGCACCTGTCTTCAGGTGTGAGGCCACGGGTCTTCACCCTGCGGTCGCCTTCCTTGCCCTGTGGCTTCCCCTATAGTACAGCCATCTCAGGGCACTCCCAAGAGCCTCCCTTGAGCAGCATGGCCACCTCTGCTTCACGCGAGACCTGACGAGCCCTTCCCCTTGCAGAGTCACTGTGCGGTGGGCGGCGCTCCTAAAGTTCCAGATCTGGGAAGAGACTGGCTGTGGCACATTGGAGCTGGCCTTTCCCCTGCAGCCGTGTCCCGGATTTCCTGAGCTTTATGCTTCTAGTCCGGATTCTTTACTTTTCAAGGTATTTGTCTTAGGGTGCATGTGCTCATCTGAGAGAGAGAGACAGACAGAGACAGAGGGAAAGTGAGAAATCACCCCTGGGCGGGGGGGATGGCCACACCACAATCCCTTCTCCTCCATTCTCTTCCGGGGACCTTGGGCACGCACGCACACACGAGCCTGGCATGAGTTTCAAGCCACCGGTTCAGGACTCGGTGGCGATGAGCCGCGTGGAGTCCAGCAACGGAGCCGCCATGCTATCTGCTGGCCCCTAGACTGGACTCTTCTCTTCCGTTATGCTCTTAACTTCCTGGTGGCAGGGCAGTCTTCCTTGGTGTCTCTCCAGCCAATGGCTTCGGAGTCACAGAACGATGTGGAGATAAACACAGCCTCAGAGACGACTCCCAGAGCGGCCCCAGTGTTCAACGTGATGGTGGGACGGTTGAGCAGCTGGGGAGGAACAGGGCAGGACAGAGGAAGTGGGAGACCTTCCTGTCCCTGAGTCTAAAGCTCCAGAAACCTTACAAGGGGTGTGGCTCTAGTAGGTGAGGGAACCGGGAGGGGGGGGGAGGTGCTGGGCTCGCCTAAAAGAATCACCCAGCAGGGACTGGATGGGCAGGTGGAGGTGCTTCACCCCTGACTTTGTTTGATTTAGAACTTGATTTACTGGCAGGGAATTTTGATCCAAATCAGTTTGTTTGCTTTTATTGACCACTAAACCCTCACTTGTCCTGACACTTCCGGAACCAAGGCTTCTGGGTTTGGTGCAGCTTTATTGAGCCTTAGTGGGTCAGAGCACTGCTTCAGAGTCAGAAAACTGATTTCAAATCCTGGCTTCACTACTGCCTGCCACGTGACCCCGAAGGAGTCATTTAACCACGTAGAGCCTCAGTTCTAGCATCTGGAAAGTGGGGATGGTGACGTGGACCTCCCTGGGTTGTTGAGGGGGTGGGATGGAGAGTAAATGCAAGGCTCTGTTAACTTGAGCAACTGTCACTGCCGCGGTAGTGTCAGGGAGGCTGGGAGAGAACCCTTCTCAGGGTCTTGCCCCCAAATCTTTTGTCCTCCAGACCTTCTCCCCCTAGGCCAGGCAATAGCAGGGGCTGGGCTGGCTAAGCTCAGAGGCGGGGTCAGGTCCTCCTGCCAGACCATCTCTGGGCTGAGGTAGGGTCGCTCCTTGGGGCAGGGCGGTTGTCACATACTAAATCATTTGTTAGTAGGCAGCCCCCGCACGCCTCACAGGGCAAGGCACTGTGCCCCAAACCCAGCCAGACTAGGCTCTGCTTCGGTGTCTGAAACTCATCCTCTTTCCAGGGCAGCATAAATGCAGAAAGAGCCATTCGGATGGCTGATTGCCCTGATGTCTGAGCCTTAATTCAATCCAGAGTGGTTTTATTATTTTATCCATTTTATGGGGGAGACAGGGTGAGTAAAAGCCTTTGGGCTCTAAGCTCCGATGCTCAGGGCTGTGTCTACCCAGATTGGGATCTGCTTGGCCGGCTGCAAAGGGAATCGAAGCTCCGAGCTCGCGCCTTCTTGGGGGGTGTGGGAAGGAGCCTGTCTTAGTCCATCGTTTTGCAGCTTACAGAAATACTGGAGCTGAGTAATTTATAAAGAAGTACAGGGTTATTAACTCCTGATGCTGGTGGCTGGGAAGTCCAAAGGCATCTGAACACAGCAGGAAACTGAACTTGGAGCAGAGTGGAGCATGGTCGGTATCCACAAGTTTCTCTCTCTTGTTCTGGTCTCATTCCTGATGCTTATAAGCCCATCAGAGCTCAGTCATGGGGTCCCAACCAGTGACCTCATCACAGCCAAAGGTCTCACCCTGGGACATCATGGAGGGATGAAGCTTTTGCTTAACACCTTTAGGACACAACCAAGTCCCAGCCTGTGAATTTTGGAGGGGACAAACAAAGGATAGCAAGGCCCAAAAGGGCGCAGTGCAGGGAGGCGGAGGGCCTTTGCCTGGGGCAGGTTCTGGGGTTCCGCTTGAGTCCTCAGGGGGAAGCACCACAGGCGGGAGACAAACTCTTCTCTCCTTTGGCCTTAGGGAGAGGATGGCCCAGGTCCCTAGGCTTCTGGGTTGCTGCAGAGAATGAGAATCCGAGCCCCACTCTCAGTGGAGTGTGTTCTTGGAAGCCTTCCAATTCAAGCTCCTCATAGAGCCCCTGCAACCGAGGCCAGGCGTAAGTAGCTTTTTACGCTCAGTGCACCAGCAGCAGCTGATCTGTTACTTAGAATTAGACTCTCATTCCAGTGCTCATGGCCCGGCCCACGTCTGTTCGGTGGGACCTACCACTTTCTCCTTGGCACCACCAGGAAGGCACAAGCCAGGCCTCCGGTGTAGGGGTCATCAGGGAATGGGCCAGAGGCGGAGGGGAGGCGAACGGGAGGCGAAGGGGGAGGAGTAATAGGACCGGACCCTTTAAGGGGGCGGGCCAACGCCGCTGGGCCCCGCCCGGCCGCTGGGCGCCGCCCCCTGGGGCGGCGCAGGCGCACGCGAGCTCTGGGAACCCAGGAGGGAGGGCGGGCGCTCGCTGGCTCGCGGCCGGCGCGCGG